ATAAAGGATCTCGATGGTTTAAATCCTCAGTATATCATGCCTGCATGAAAGGCTTCCTCTGTAAACAGAGGAGCAAGACCACACTGCCTTATATCAAGACCTTTGCAGCTTGTTTAAAAGGGGGCATTATTTTCCACTGGGCATATGGTTTCTTCACAATGTCTTCTCTCCTCTCTCCTCTCCTCCTCTCCTCTCTTCTCTCCTCCTCTCCTCTCTTCTCCCCTCCTCTCCTATTCTGTTCTCCTCTTCTCTCTCTCTCTCTCTCTCTTTCACACACACACACACACACACACACACACCCTGCTTATCTGTGCACAAGGCAGAAAATTCTTTGGCAGCTTCTTTTAAGGATGATATTTTTTATTTATTTATTTTCAACTTTTATTTAATAAATATAAATTTCAAAAGTACAACTTTTGGATTATAGCGGCGTTTCCTCCCATAAACCTCCCTTACACCTGCAACCATCCCATCTCCCACTCCCTCTGCCATCCCATTCTTCATCAAGATTCATTTTCAATTATCTTTATATACAGAAGATCAATTTAGTACATACTAAGTAAAGATTTCGACAGTTTTCACCCACATGGATACACAAAGTATAAAGTACTGTTCGAGTAGTAGTATAAAGTACTGTTTCAGTAGTAGTTTTACCGTTAATTCGCATAGTACAGCACATTAAGCACAGAGATCCTACATGGGAAGTAGGAGCACAGTGACTCCCGTTGTTGATTTAACAATTGACACTTATTTATGATGTCATGGCGGGCTCTTAAGTAGTAAGCACCTACACCTCGTACTACCTTGGGAGACAAAGCTATAGACTAGACCAATGCTAGCAGAACCAACTGGGCAGACTTCAATCTTTCTATGAGTTCATCATCGATATCTGTTTCCTTTCCTCTGCCTTACCCCCTGCAACCACAGTCTATCTGTTCTTGTATCTCTCTGAATAAACAAAGGCACTCATGTTTTGCTTACTTGCCACCAAATACAACTTCAAAAAGTGTTATGTCGATTATGCAACATGAGATTCAAATCTATTTCTGTTGACTCACAACTATTAGACTCATGCCAAAGGCCTTCAGATTTTTGATAGATATGGATATGCTACCCTCCCAAATGTTAGGAGGAAGGAAGGGAGGCAGTGGTCAGAACAGGCTGGTTTGTGTTGTGGTAACTCTCCCAAAATCTCAGAGGCAGAAAAGAGTTATCCTGGGGCAGGGGTTATGACATATCAGTTAAGATGCCCACATACCATATTAGAGTGCCTGGGTTTGAATCTCTGCTCGTCTTCAGATCCAGCTTCCTGCTAACGCACATCCTAGAAGGTAGCACGTGACGGTTCAAGTACTTAGTCCCTGCCATGCACATGGGAGACCCCAACTGAGTTCCAGGTTCCTGATTTTAGCCTGGCCCAACCCTGGATGTTGCAGGCAGTGGGACAGTGAACCAGCAGATGGAAAATCTCTCAGCACTTGTCTGTCACTCTGCCTTTCAAATAAATACATTTTTTTAAAAAAGATATCTTTTTTTAAGATTTATTTATTTGAAAGTCAAAGTTACACAGAGAGAGGAGAATCAAATATATATATATATATATATATAGAGAGAGAGAGAGAGAGAGAGAGAGAGAGAGAGAGAGATCTTCCATCTACTGGTTCATTCCCCAGTTGGCCACAATAGCCAGAGCTGAGCTGATCTGAAGCCAGGAGCCAGGAGCTTCTTCTGGGTCTCCCACACGACTGCAGGGTCCCAAGGACTTGGGCCATCTCCTACTGCTTTCCCAGGCCATAGCAGAGAGCTGGATTGGAAGTGGAGCTGCCAGGACTTGAACCAGCCCCTACATGGGATGCCGGCACTGCAGTTGGGAGCATTATCTGCTTCGCCACAGCACCACCCCCAAAAGATATGTCTTTTTCAGTCTACTACATACCCATCATAAGTTGGCAGGGTAGCATTAGAAGATATGGGGCTGTACACACTCCAGGACCCAGACTGAGAAAGTGGCCATAGGAAGTAGAAAGAAAGCTCTTCAGTCTCACACCAGCAATTCCATGCATGGCCTGGTGGTGACACATCTCACTTTCATCCTTGTCTTATGGACCAGAACTGACCAAGTGGCCCAACTGGTAGTCACCCAACTACAAGGGGACCACAAAGTGAAATCCTACTCTGTGACTCAAAGTCAAAGATCCCGAGAGATCTGAGGAACAGCACTAATGACCACCTAGAGGGAGGAATGGGCAAGACTCAGAAAACGGCTGCAGGGAAGAATCTCGCCCACTGCTCTGACTAGACCCCGGAACAGACTCCACAGCATCTGCCACTGCCTATCAAGTCCTGCAGAGTAGAGGGTAGGCCCCAAACATCATTCAGTCTTTGTTCCAACATTTATAGAAATTATTATGGACTTCTCCAAGGTCAAGATTTTAGCAATATACAGATATTGCTCTGTAATTTCTTTAAAAAGGGATTTTGTTAATTATAACATCTTTTTTTAAATGTTTTCATTTGATATGAAATAGACATTCTCATATACTAATTTTAGTGACAAAGTTGGTCATATCTTTCTGGAACTTTATTGACTGGGTGACAAAAGAACATTTGAAGGGTTCATCACCACTTGACCCTGTCATTCTACATCTATAAATTAATCCTGAGGAAATAAGTAGGCATGGACATGATGAAGATTTATGTAAAAGGACAATTTCCATAGCACTAGTATTAATATTCTGAACTGGTGGTAACATAAATGCCTAATAAAATGGAGTTGGTCAGATAAGTACTGTAGTATCCATACATTGTAATACTGTATAACAATTGGGTGAAATAACTCAGCAGGCTGGCATGTTAATACAATATACAATTATATTACCATTAAGAATCAATTATGAAGATTAAATAAAAATATAGAAAGAACTAAATGAAGTAGTAGCAGCACTAAGTAGAACTCAATATAATATACATTAAAATTCTACGTGCTATAAACAGGTCTATATTAAAAGGGTTTGGATTATACATATATGTATGTATATGAGATTTCAGGGCTTTCAGTTTTTCTGACAATTTCAAATTTGTGTTCAGATGTATCATTCAACCCTTGTTCAGTTGGTGAAAGGAGAAAAGCAAGAAGGAATAAGAGAAAAAGGAAGCAGAGGAGAAAAGGAGAAGGAAAGGGAAGGAGAGAAAGCCCAAGAAGAGAGGGGAGCAGAGGGAGAGGAAGACTTACAAAGCTCACTTCAGTGACCAGCTTAGCTTCCCTCTTTCGTCTTTCCCTTGCTAAACCCTGCACAGCCTCCTCCTCTGTGAGCTACAAAAGAACAGGGTAAGTTCACTCTGCCACATGCAAGAGCCCACTGGAAAATACAGAGAAGACCTTGCAACTCCTCGAATTCCACTCACCGATGTCTTTGCTTCCTAGGAGAGTAGGGCTTTGGCATCTAAGCAGAGTGGCCATTTGGGAGGGTCAACAACTTCCCAGTGAAATGGTTGGTGTTTCTGGGATACACAGGGCTTGTTCTGGCCGATTCCCAGTTGGTGGGGTAGACCAGGAAGATTGAGCCAAGTATGGATCTAGGCTTAGCAACACTTCTTGGGCAGCCATCCTTGAGGGTGAAACACAGGAACTAGCAGCTAGTAGAAAACATTTTCAAGGAAGCAAAAAACTTTTTTCAACTCAGTAGGCTACCAACAACAAGATGCCGCCACACAGCCCAGAATGGAAAAAACTTTAAAAACTGATAATATCGAGGATTAATGAGGATATGGAGAAACTGGAACTCCCATACATTGCCAGAAAGTGCGTAGAATGGAACAAGCACTTTGGAAAACTGTCCCCTTTTACTCTAATTCCACTCCTGGGCCTATATTTAAAGGAAATAAATGTATATGTCCACAAAAAAGCATAGAAGAATGTTCATAGAGACATTAGTCATAATCATTCAGATTTGGTCCACCTGGCTCTTTGATCTGAAATAAGTGACCTCCCATGGTTTTCTCATGGTGGAGTTCAGGAGCCCAACATGGCAGAGGAAACTTGCCATGTCTACTGAAGTCTCACTCAGGATTGGCACAGTCACTTCTATCCTCTTTCTACTGGCCAAGGCAAAGACCTATGACAAAGCATTTACTGAGCATTTACCATAGGCCTCTTTTCATGCATTTAAATCTTCATGAAAATGCAGTGGGCTGAATACAATTTTTAGCCTCTCTTATGAAAGATAAAATTTAAAGTAATTCTCCAAGACAATGAGACTGGTAAATAGCAAGGATATGAGTGCACAGATTCCAGCGCCTCTCATATCAAACCAGAAGACAGAAGATCCGAGATCCAGCTTTGACTTTGATTGTACAACCATCACAACAGTCATCTGTGGAGTGGATTGGGGCATACTGGTTTTTTTTTTTTTTTTTAAGATTTTTTTATTCATTTGAAAGGCAGAGTTACAGAGGCAGAGGCAGAGAGAGGTTTTCCACCTGCTGGTTCACTCCCCAAATGGATATGGCTGGAGCTATGCCAATTGGAAGCCAGGAGCCAGGAGCTTCCTCCAGGTCTCCCACGCAGGTGCAGGTGCCCAAGGACTTGGGCCATCTACTGCTTTCCCGGGTCACAGCAGAGAGCTGCAAGGGAAGCGGAGCAGCCGTGACTCCAACCAGCTCCATATGGGATGCCGGCACTACAGGCGGTGGCTTTACCCGCTACACCAGAGTGCCGACCCCTCGTCATTGCATCTTAACAGTGATACATGGCCGGGGCGTGGGGGGGGGGGGGCAGAGGGACCGCAGGCCCTGGGGGCCGTTGCACGTGTCCTCCCAACTCTGCCCTCAGGGACACCACGGGGTCATGTGAACTTACCCTCAAGCGGAGGATCTGCCCCACAGATCTTGGCAAAGCCTACAATCCGGGGTTCTACCCTCGGTGCCTGATTGAGAGGTCCCTGTGCCCCTCTGCCCCGGCCCCCAGCATACATTTTTAAGTGACTTCAAAAACATCTTACCTTGCTTTCCATTTCTTCTTATGTAAAATGAGGGGAGAGGTATTCTACGTTTATCTCCAAGCTTATTTCCAGGTATAAAAGTAAGGTCAAAATTCTGTGAACTCAGTGGAACACTGACCATTAACCTGACAGCAGCTGCAAAAGATCTGCTGATCACTAAAAGCGAGCCCCCAAACTACCACTGATTTCAGTCTGAGCAACCATTCTTGGAGGTCACAATGATATGATGAAATCTCTCTGTGTAGAATAGACACCAATTTAGGGCCAGCGTTGTGGACAGCAGTTAAGCCACTGCCTGCACTGCCAGCATCCGCTATGGGTACCAGTTCCAGTTCCAGCTCCCTGTTAATGCACCTTGGAAAACAGCAGAGGATAGCCCAAGTCCTAGGGCCCCTGCACCCGTGTAGGAAACCCAGAAGGAGTTCCAGGCTCCTGGCTATGGCCTGGCCCAGCCCCAGCCATTGCAGCCATGTAGGGAGAGAACCAGCAGATGAAAGCTTGCTCACTCTCGCTCTCCCCCTCTTTCTATAACTCTGCCTTTCAATTAAATAACAAATAAATCTTTAAAAAATGAATAGATACCAGTTTAATTCTTATTTTTTAAAAATACTGAATTTTGCTTTTTTGGGTTCATCTTTAAAGTACTAGGAAAAAAACAATTCATTATAAACTTAAATAATTTCCTCAGTTCAGGCAAGATTTTTCAGTTTTTAACTGCAAATTCAATTCCCAGGGGAGCACTGCCCTGCTGCTGGCACGTGTGTCTTCTCTCTGTACACTGTGCCTCCCCTGCTGGGCCAAAGCCCCTCTGGGTGTTTGCACGGCCAGCTCCCATCTCCATGAGAGCAAGAGCAAGTGTCAAAACACCCTCTTGTCTATTAGGACCTAAAATAACCTCCTAACATTTTCTGAAGATTTTGTTTACAAACAGAATTTTCTAAGGCTATGGACTCATGGCCTTAGAAAAGGCCAACAATTTCCATTTATGTGCATCTCCGTGATCACCTGGTAGCATACTGCTTTGCAAAACTGGATAGAGGAAAGGAGAGACAGGTGGACGGATGGACGGACGGATGAGCAGGCTGCACACCCACTGCACCTCCGTCAGGAACACTCTCTTCATCCCACTCTGCACCTTTCCCCTGCTTAACTCCTGGTCACACTTCAGTTCTCACCTCAAATACTGCTACCTCAACATTTTCCCTGATCCCAGTCAAGGCCAGTCTCCTTCATTCTGGCTTTCCATAGTGTTCCTTTCTTCAGGGCACAAATCTGGGGGCAGTGATATATCACACAAATGTTTACTATTCACCTCCTCATCTAGGTAATACATTCCAAGAGAGCATGGGCCAAGTATGAGATTTTTCTAAATGAATGTACACAGAGTGAGCATTTAGTCTAGTGGTTAAAATGCTTCTGTCTCACATTGGAATACCCAGGTTCAATTCCCAGCTCTGGCTCCTGAGTCCCTGCCCCTGCTGACCCAGACAATGGGTGGCAACAGTAATGTCAAGTAATTGAGTTCCTGCCACTCACATCGGACACCTGGATGGCATTCCCAGGTCTGGCTTCAAGTTTGGCCCAGCCCCAGCTGTTGCAAGAAGTTGACAAGAAAAAAAGCAGGCTAGAGTGTTTTCTCTCTCTCTCTCTCTCTCTCTCTCTCTCTCTCTCTTTCTCTCTCTTTCCTGTGTCTTTCTGTCTCAAATTTTAAATAAACAAATTAATGGATAAATGAGTATATGAACAGTGGGCTGTGAACGTGGAACTTGGTTATAAAGATGATTCTACTATAATCACAGGATTGCAGTATTTAAGAAAAGAAAGGGAATGTCAAGTTCAAACAGAACTCAGTAGAATAAAAGAATCTTGAGAGACCTTTGATTCAACCTCCTACACAATGGAGGAATATCTGCACTGTATGATATTAACCTATATGAACAGGGTGTGGTTTTTTTTGGAGGGGGGAATAGAAGTTGATTTTTGGAATAGGAATTTAATTCCTTGGGGAAAATCATTTGCTATGCAACCTTAAAACCCTAAAATGTTTAGTTTAGCTTACAATAGTGCACATTATATTCAAAATTATTACTTTACATGTGATTTTTCAATTAATCAATTTCTAGCTCTAACTGGCTCAATGCACTATAATAGATGCATTGCACAAAACACAATATAAACTAAAATAAGGTATATGGAAACATTTCATCAATGAAATTATTTAAAGTGTACTAACATATTTCACTTTTTAAAGGAATTTTAAGATAAATTTTCCTATAAAATGAATAATCTTTTTAAAATTCACACTCTCCTCCAATTTGTGGTTTGTGAATTTAGATTTTGAATCCAACTGAGCTTTCTGAAAACAAGACACACCTATATGGGTGCCTTCAGTATTGGATTTCACAATGAAGAAACTAATCAGAAAAGGGAACATTTTACCATTATACATAATATTTGAAGATCAAATTGGTCCTTTCTAGTTATGTTCAAAAGTGATATGGAGGGGCCAGTGCTGTGGCGCAGCAGGTTAACGCCCTGGCCTGAAATGCCGGCAACCCATATGGGCACTGGTTTGACACCCGGCTGCTCCACTTCCAATCCAGCGCTCTGCTATGACCTGGGATAGCAGTAGAAGATGGCCCAAGTCCTTGGGCCCCTGCACCCACGTGGGAGACCCAGAGGAGGCTCCTGGCTCCTGGCTTCAGATTGATCCAGCTCTGACTGTTGCATCCATTTGGGGAGTGAACCAGCAGATGGAAGACTTTCTCTCTCTCTCTCTCTCTCTCTCTCTCTCTGCCTCTCCTTCTCTTTCTGTGTAACTCTTTCAAATAAAATAAAATAAATCTTAAAAAAAAAGTCCTATGGAGACGACCCTCAGATTTCGCCCTTCTGCATCCTTCTCAGATTAGTGATGGTGGATGTGGAGATTCTGTCCTGGCGCAGTCTCGGTTCACAGCCTGGTGCTGTCAGCGAGCCACGGTGGCCTTCATCTGTATGTACCTGTGAGGACAGCATATATGGTGCCTGGAGCATTCCTAGGGGTTTAGCTTATCAGCTGTCTCCCAGCCCGACACCAAACACAGCTTGTAACAGGGAAGAAAAAAGAACAGGACACAGCATTCATTGCTCCCCCATCCTCCTTGCTGGCAGAACCCTGACAATCCATGTGACTTTGTGCCCAATTCCAGAAGCTGAGTCATGGAGTGATCTATAAACCAGACACACGCATCCTCTTCTCCGTTGCCGGTGAACGGTCTAGGATGAGCAGGTGAACCAGTGTTGACCAATGACATGTGAAGAGAAGTCTACTTGGGGTTGCTAGGAAAGACTTTTCTCCTGTATCAAAGCAAAGAAGGCTGTAAAGAGATCTCTGTTTCACTCCATTCCCCACTTTCTTCTTATTTAGTATATTGTCATGTAAGGACACAACTTGGAATTATGACATCCACCCCACACGCTGAAAAGAAGAGGCATCACCAACAACTGGAATATTAGCAGAATGTGAGGAGCAAACATCAGGTATCCGATGTCATCATCCAGCTAAATACTATAAATGTCTTTATAGTTTAAGTCACTATTAATCTAGTTCCTGGCTACCTGTAACCAAATGCATTCCTAATATAAATTTATATAGCCAATATCTTATATAATAGTACTACATGTTCTTCAAAATAGTTTTACATCCATAACTTCACTGAATCCTTTCAACAGTCCTGGATAGAAATGATACAACTACTATATCCTTCATTTTCACAAATACAGAAGTGAATATTTAGGAAAAATTAGTCTTGTCTGAAAAAGAAATCAAGAAGCTTGAGACTGCTTTAGTCCAGGAGTTGGCAAACTGTGTGGTCCACAAGCCAAAGCATAAAGCATGGCCAGTAAACCAAGAGTTTTTAAGTGGATGGAAAAAGTCAGTTAAAAAAAAAAATACTCCTATTTCATGACATGTGAAAATTACGTGAAACTGAAGTTCTAGTGTCCATAAACAAGACTTATTGGAATACAGCCATGCTGGGTCATTTACATATTGTCTACAACCGGTTTAGAGCAGCGATTGCAAAGTCCAGTGGTCATGACCAGCTGTATGGCTCACAGCGTCTAAAATATATACTGCCCGGCCCTTTCCAGAAAAAGGTCCCTGACCCCACCTTTTGTTCTATCATGCTCACTTAAAAAGCAATCACGCTTCAATAAAAACTGTGTAGAGTGACTAGGACATCCTATTTTACACCCTAGCATGGTGAGCTGAGGTTTGGTTTGCTGTTTGTCATTTTTTCATCCTCTGACTACAACCTACTGACAGGTTCATAATCCCCAGACTACCCAGATGGGAGCAGAGAAAAGTCTGGACTAACTGTTAATTAATCAGTCTGGCTTGAGTTCTCCCCTCAGTAAACACCAGAGCACATCTGTTTGAAACAATGTTTTGATAAACAGTCCCTCAATCAAAAAGAAAAAAACACTAGCCCATGTATTCTATGCTGCAGTAGTGTTTCTTGTCTGAGATTTGCCATCATATGAACATAAATGAATTATGCCAAACCTGATATAAAATCTACAAGACTTTTCAAGCCATGTGGACAACCATATTATGCAAACCATACAAAGTGGATTTAAAAAATAAATCACTTTGTTTCTTAATTGCTTTTCTATTTTGATCTTTGTAACAAGATTTGGTGAACAATGTATTTCACTGCAGGAGAAAATATATGCAAACATTTAATACAGTACCTAGTACATACTTTGTAGTGGCTTAAAATTAGTTGAACCTAAAATGTATGAACCATGAGGAATAATATTTATAAATGACTTAATTATTCAAATGGAAAGGGAAAATGTATGCATCTATAACACGTAAATACTAGGAGTCGACCGTCTACTCAAATTCATCAGAAAATAAATTTTTTTCATATTTTTGTGGCTTTGGTTTAAGCCTTCAGAGATACAATGCCAACTTTACTCCAGAGCAAGCCAACGTGGTTTTTGCCACAGTTTACAAATCTTTGCATTGTTGTAAAACAGAAACAACATGCTGGTCTGTGGAGATTCCTTTAAGTGTTTTAAATTAAAAAGAGTACTCATCCCACTATCACTATCAAACACAAGGGCATGGGTCTGCCGTGATAAAAGGTTCTTCTGAGGGCTTCAGAACTCCTGGCTCCCCGTCAGCCAGAGAACTCAATGTTTTGAGTTTATCTGCTCCCTCTGCTGCCTGGTTCCATGGTAATTACCAGGCTCCTAGAGCCGCCCTGACATCTCATGTGATGGAAGTACACAGGCAAAGAAATAAACACAAACAGCTGCGTTAATTCCAGCAGCTTTCAAACCTCAAACAAGCTGCGGAAAAACTGCTGAATCAAAAGGGAACTAAGTCAGGAGGAGCGACTCTCAAAACATTCAAGCAAAAAGCACAAGGGCCACAGCCAATGGACCGCACCATCCCAAAGAAAATGAACCAAAAAGGTGCAGGCTTTTAAAAATGGTTGAAAATATTCTTTCCTTCCTAGACAAAAACTTTCATAATTGCACATCTTCTGGAAGAATCGATAAGAAACTGCCAGTTGTGTTACTAGGCTTGAAAATGCCTCAGGAGAAGAAATTACTTATTACTGGCAATACCATGGCACCTTTGAAAGATGACGTGGTGTTGGTTGATTGTATTAATTTTTAATTAAGTTTTTCGAGGTAACATATTACACACCAACATTCAACTATGTTTAGATCAATGTTACTAAAAACACCCAACGTCAGGCACGACTTCTAATAAGACTTTATTCTTTCATTCTAACTCCAAAATATATGCTAGATACTAAGAAGGCAAAAATAAAAGATTTGGTTCCTACCTTCAAAGAACGTTTGCTCTAACAGAGCCATCGCATACAACTAGTACAAAGTGCAAGAGGAAATGTATGTTACAGTTTCCCAGCAGTCACCCGGAGATACCATTCACCTGTTAAAGGAACGTTGCAGTTGTTCAGCATTGGGAGTTTCTCTTGTGGAACCAGTCAACAAGCCATTACCTTTTGCCATTACCATACTGCCCAAGATCCACGAAATCTCAGTGGCATACAACAAATACAGACAGTCCCCAATTTACAATGGCTTGATTTAATGATTTTTTCAACTGTATCATGGTGCAAAGGCGATACACACTTGGTGGAAATCATACTTCGAATTTTGATCTTTTCCTGGGCTGGTGATTTTCTATCGCTGTGCTGGGCAATGGCAGCAAGCCATGGCCTCCAGTCAGCCACACAATCACAGGGTTACCACACACAACATAAAACAGACTTTATGTTAGATGATTTTCTTTTTTTGCCCAACTATAGGCCAGTGTAAGTGTCCTGGGCATGCTTAAGGGAAGTGAGGCTAAGCTATGATGTTCAGTACATTAGGTGTACTGAATACATTTCTTGACTTAAGATATTTTAACTTACAATGATTTGATCGAGATGTAACCTCATCATAAATCGAGGAGCAGCTCTATTCATGGAACAAATCCAGAGTGGTCAGCAAGGCAGCACATCTGAACTTCACCAGGCTCACTTACATGTCGGTGGCAAGGGTACACGGGTCAGCTGGATCTCAGCTGATTTAAACTGACCTTGGCTGGGACAAACAGGACACTGCTGCTCTACTCTATACTTCTCTTGTCCTTCAGCAGGCTGGCTCGGGTACATTCTGGTGGTCATGACAGAGGTGTGTAAAAAAAGAGGAAAACTGTTAACCTCATGGGTCTTGACTCAAAACTGGCATACCCTTAGTCCCACTGCATTCTACTGGCCAAACAAGGCACAGTGCCAGTTCAGATTCATGAGATGGGGAAACAGACGCCATCACTTAGTAAGAGGAACTGTGAAGTCACCGAGCAGAGAGCATGAATGAAGAGGACTGGAAGAAAAGAATCTCGGCTCTCACTGCAATTTACCACCAAGCCCTACCAGAAGAACCGTCTCTAAATTATGTTCTTCTGCTTCTAACCCACCTCTTTCACTAGGAATGATTTCAGACGGTTCAGGTTTTGCCTAAAATTAAACCCATCCTCAAAATTCCAGTAACTGCCACTCTAGAACATCGAGATCCCATCTCTTGCTTTTTTGTCCCTTAACAACGGCCAGTACAGGGCTGCATGGGGACACCTAAATGTTACTTGTTGATGGATGAACAACTATGTCCACAGTTATAAAAGTGTTTTGAGTAATAGTTGCATAATGCAACATACAGTCTCCTCAGACGGTTTCCTTGAAAGATACCACATTCCAAAATGTGAGTGCTCCTGAGTTTGCATTTTAAAAAATAATCTGTTATATTTAGGTCCCGTTCCTACCATTCAAGATGGTAAGGCAGGTACAGATTACATGGACCTTACTTTCAGGCTTTGTTTTTGACTCAGATTTCTAAAACGTACCTACTTACTTCCCAGTCTTTTACCCATTATTTCCGAACGATGAGGACATTCGACAAACATGTTATTACCGAACCTCAGACTGGACTGATTCTTCATTGGCTAGAGGACTCTGGAAAGGATACCATGACCTACCTCACAGGATCGTTCTGGAAAGTGACACGACTGATTCCTTGAAGAATGCCCGGCAAACGCTCCTTGTGTAATATTAATTCTTTACATTTCTAGAGCCCACTTCTTTGACTTCTTTCAAAGAATTCTGAGCAGTTCACATATGGCCGGCCAGATCCTCCCAGAGTGTGAATTATGCCCCAGGAGTGAGTTAATTGCTTGAAAGGAGGCATTAACTCTTTCAGGTCAGTAGGGTCCCACTTACAGCACTGCAGGAGGGCTGTAATTTACCAAATAGCACCCCAGAGGCTGGAAAGAACATGTGCAATATAAATTATTCCCAGGGAGTAACTTAAGAACTCAGAAAATCTGGTTTATCATCTCTTCTGTTCACACAGTACCCCAGCAAGGAAGAGAAGGAGCAAGAAGAGAAAAATTAGTAAAAAACTAGGTGAGACTGGGGAGGCTAAGCCTCCCAAACTCCCAGAGCATGTCAGGGGCAGAACGCCAGTGCAAGCTGCCTGATCACCCAGCATGAGTGCTACAGGATTCAAGGCTCTCAAGTTGAAGTCTGCAAATCAGGCCTGCGACCAGGATGAGGTGAGTTGCCCAGGAGGCAAAATTAGGGCCTTGCTGATAATTCAGTGAGGGATGTATTAGCTTGAGACATTCAAGGGGCCACAACATCCACACTTAGGTCGATGACTTGCTTCTATTAAACCCGTAAATATTGAGGAAAAGGGGAGGAAGCAATGGGGGGGGGGGCTGGCAGCAGAGGAGAGAGGTTGTCATACTGCTCTGTTGCTGTGGTTAGAAATGGTCAAAGGCTTGCGCCGTGGCTCACTAGGCTAATCCTCCGCCTAGCGGCGCCGGCACACAGGGTTCTAGTCCCGGTCAGGGTGCGGGATTCTGTCCCGGTTGCCCCTCTTCCCAGGCCAGCTCTCTGCTGTGGCCAGGGAGTGCAGTGGAGGATGGCCCAAGTACTTGGGCCCTGCACCCGCATGGGAGACCAGGAGAAGCACCTGGCTCCTGCCATCGGATCAACTCGGTGCGCCGGCCACAGCGCGCCGGCCATGGAGGCCATTGGAGGGTGAACCAACGGCAAAAGGAAGACTTTTCTCTCTGTCTCTCTCTCTCTCTCACTGTCCACTCCGCCTGGAAAAAAAAAAAAAAGAAATGGTCAAATAGTTCACCTATTTTAGGTTACAGGAGAAGCGTCTAGATTGAAGTCTGTTTGTTATGTAATTAATACATATTTTGGCTTGAAGGTCCAAATACTGAGTCCTTGTCCCTGGCTCAATTAAGCACTATAGCAATCATCTTTAACTATGGCCTGTGAGTTCCCGTTCTTTAGGAAGCTTCCCAAAGCTCTACAAAGGGTACCAGGTGGTCTGCAAAACACCTTAGGAACATAGAGATTTTGATTCTTCACTCAGCACTCGCTCGCTCTCTCTCTCTCACACACACTCTTTCTCTCTCCCCTCTGTGCCTGTCCAAAATCCAAATGCAGAACTATAATGTTCTTTTAAGGAGGACAAAAAATCTAATGCTTGCAATGCCTGGGAGCTGTACTATGCCAGCTTCTTTTCAAAACTCTTCTTCCATTCACCTTATCAACCTCAGCCACCAATGAAGCCCCTAAATGGCTTATCTGAATTTTCACTCATTTCTTGCCCCAATGAACTACACACTAAATCCCATGTGAAACAAAGTGGACATAACAGGCCCCTTGCATGCTCCCTCCCACACACACACAACGGCGAGTCAATTTGAGCTCACACTTACTTGGATGGCAGTGAGTGGTATTCACTTTGGATAAATCACTTAGCCACTCCCGGCTTCTGCTTTCTCAGAGATTAGAAGTCTCAGGTTCCTTCCAGTTCTGGAATTCCATAATTCTTTTTTTAGATATTTTTTAAAGATTTATTTATTTATTTGCAAGTCAGAATTACACAGAGAGAGGGGAGGCAGAGAGAGAGAGATCTTCCATCCAATGGTTCACTCCCCAATTGGCTGCAACGGCCGAAGCTGCGCCAATCCGAAGCCAGGAGCCAAGAGCTTCCTCCATGATACCCACGCAGGCGCAGGGGCCCAAGGACTTGGGCCATCCTCTACTGTTTTCCCAGGCCATAGCAGAGAGCTGGATTGGAAGTGGAGCAGCCGGGTCTCGAACCGGTGCCCATATGGGTTGCCGGCATTTCAGGCCAGGGCGTTAACCTGCTGCGCCACAGCGCCGGCCCCTGGAATTCCATAATTCTAGAGTTGATACATCTCCTGGAAGTCACAACCTTCAGCTAAACTGCAGTCAGCAAATGGCAACTCTGAGGCCAAATCCCACCCCCTCCCCCTGTAGCTTTTGTATAGTTACTGAGCGATAAAGATGGTTTTTAAACTTTAAATGGTTGGGAGAAAAAAAGATAAAAAGAATAGTATTCACAACATGCGAAACAACTACATAAAACTCAAATTTTGGTGTCCATAAATAAAGTTTTATTGGCGCACAGCCAGGCCCATGCATACACATATTACCATGGCTGCTTTCGCAACACGAGAGAACTGAGTGCTTGCAGCAGAGACTGCAAAGGCTGCAAACCCCAAATATTCACTAACTTCACAGACAATGCTCTCCCTTTACACAGTCTGCCCAGCCCACACTAAGCCATTAGACTTCGCACGGTAAAAAGTCTGCTGCAAAACCCCTACCCACTTGAAGATTTATTTCTGGAAAAGAGCAGCCTCAAGGTAATCTCAGGACCCAAAAACAACATGAATGGATAATCGGATGAGCTGATCCTTCTAGAAGAAACTGCAGGAAATCACTGATAAATCTACTTTGCTAATTTCAGGATTGACTTTTTATGACAAACTACTGCCTGCAAAACAAAATTGTCTCTTATCACTTTGCAATAAAAGGCCATTACAGTCCCTTTTCTCTTTTCCTTTGTTTTTTCTTTCTCTTTTGTAAAGTGGTCTGAAGGTAAATGTACCTTTTCTTCACGAGCGAAAGTTCTGTGGGCGACAGCACCTGCTAAGAGCAACACGCCATGGACGAAATCCCTCCCCCTAAGGCAGTGGCCATGAATCGAAATCAGCTGCTATAGTGCTGGATGAGTTTCACAGTCACAACCCAAGTTATGAGGGAGTCCAGGGACCCAGGTCCTGGCCCTTACAGGCAAAACAGCTGCAAAGCCCCTCGGGGAGCGAGCTGAGGACTCTCTGCAAATGGCCAAGGGCTGACCCACCTGCCCGGTCGGTTCCACAGGCTGCAGCCCCCCAGGGCCCCGGGCTGAGCAGGAACACAGAGTTAGCACTTGGCACTGAGTATCCCACTGAGGCCCCTTCTACCCCCCTCAAATCCCCTCCTCTCTGCCTCCTCAGCCCAATCAAAGCCTACTCTAAATTCCGCAGCCTCGGGCAACCCTGTATTACTTTTGACCATTTTCTGTTTGTGTTTTCTCTTGCCAAGGTCTGTAAGATCCTGCAGCAGCCAGAACACTGACCACTTAGGGCTCTCAGTGGGAGACCCACACGCCTTCTCCATGAAGACAGTGCCACTGGGGAGAGGGGACATTAGTAGGGCTTCTGACCTTTTTCCTCAAAGAGAAACGGGGACTCTCTGGCTGCCAGGCAGGTTTTCTAGATGAGGAGCCGAGATCAGAGGACGGTGTGCTGGTTCCTAGAGTTCCCTATTTCTGTTACTACTTCATCAGAGGAAGCTCTTCCTATTGCAAGCAAAAGCCATGTTGCAAACTGTTCTGTGCTGCACTTTGCCGACACAGCTGCAGATCTCGCATACGGCTCGGCTTCCCTGAGAGCAGAGAAGAGGGAGCATTGGAGCTGTGGGCTTCCTGCTCTCAGCTTTGTGGGGTGTTGAGATTGTGGCATCAGGCCATGCCTTTCTGCCCAAAACACCAAATTCTTGCTTTGCTTCCTGCGGTATTTCTATTGCACGCGGTCTCTTCACCTGGAACCTTTGTCTTCCTTCATATGCAGGTGGTAATCATGTAAATAAAGGTTCTTTCAAAATTAAAACCAGTCGCTTGGATTCTAAATGCAACTTTCCATTTTTGTCTTTATATTCTTGTTTTAAGATGATCAGCGGGAATTATCCAAAGGAACATAATGATCTGGAAGGGTCTTAGTTCTTGTGCCTATTAAAATACAGCACATGTCCTGGCTTTGCTGAACCACTGAAAAAATAAAGCTAGCTGATAAACTTGTGGTGCATTAAAAAAAAATACCAATTCCTGGGCTCCACCCCTCAAGAGACTCTGCTTTAATTGCCCTGGGTAGGGCCTGGATCTGGGTATTTTTTGCTTTGCTTTGTAATCTCTCCAGGGTTCCACAGTCACATGAGGCCCAGACTCCAGCACATGGCACCTCAGGTAGACTTCAGATGGGGAGTACTTCCCTCTTCACCCCATGATTCCATGGCACATGTCTGCCTGTCCTTATAGCCCATAAGCTTAGGAAGGGTCTGGGATTGTTCCTTATTTGTCTGGAAGACTTGCAGTAGCCAGTGAGATGCTGCAACCCCAGGCGCTCATGAGAACACGGCTCCTCCTAAGGAGACAGAGCCAGGAGGAACTCTGGGAAATCTCTTAATCAAAGGCGGCTAGCCTCTATACCTGTGACATCAATGACCTGAATTCCTGTGACTGTCCCAGACCCAGGCCCCTGAGCCAGGGTATGCAGCACCCTCCATCTCCAACACCTGGTGTATACCAAGCAGGGCCAACTTGATGCTTTTGCTAACGGAGTTCAAATGGGAGATCAACAGAAAGCTGGGCAGTCGGCAGCAGGAGCGGAAGCCAAAAGACTCCGGGAGACACCCAGCCAGTGGAGAGCTGAATCACCTTGGCTGCAGAGCCCTTGAGTAGGGATAGCAGATGCCGGCCGCAGAGGGGGCCACGGAGCCGTATCCTGAATGACCTTCCAGTTCCTGAACTCCAATCCAGTTTTCGTGAGGCCTGGCTGGGTGGCCCTTCCGGAAGGCTTTTCAGAGCCACGTGGCTGAATGGTGGAGATTCCGGTCAGCCTTCCTTCCCCAGTAAAATCCCCGCTACTTAGGGTCAACCAAGTGGTATCCGTCCCTGGTAACCCCAAAAGCCCAATCAGCACAATTCCCAGGGTCTAGCGTTTTGGGTGGCATGCGGCAAGTACCAAATAATTGCAGGTGCATGGATGGCCTGATCATCCCCTGCCTCCCCGCAAAAAGCCTGCAGAAAGTGAAGAAATCATTCCGGGTGAAACTACTGATTGGGGTCACCTATCAACTCTCACAGCAAGGCTAAACTGGGACACATATACAAAGCTTACTCCATCCTCGCACTTCCCAATCCACCTACCTTCTACCACAAACCTATCCCACAGGGAACTGTCACACAGCACAGAACTGCAAGGGAGCATCCTAACCTCAGCTAAGATGTGTTTGCCTGACTTGGTTTTCATTTCACTTCATCTTAAATCACGGTAACATTAGTAAGAACAATTTGCCGCCCACTCCAGCTTCACCGACAAACCTCCAAAGTAGCTGATCTGTGACTTTTAAGTTTAATAATACACGATTCTCCCTCCTCCTCCCCCTCCCCAACCCCCCCCCCCCCCCGCCGCGTTGCCACACACATTCCCCCTGTCTATTGTCTGTCTGAGCTACTTGAAGAACACACACTCCCCACCAACCGGATGAGTCATAAAATGAGGTACATAGATGTAAACTGAGCCTGTTTACACTGTCCCTGGCCCCAGCTAATAAAATAAAAGAGATCCCACAGAATTCAGGTCCACTGGTTTCCAGAAAGCGAGTTTCTGCTTAGCAAAGAAAGACATAGCTTACGGAGTCCATGCTTTGAAAGGCAGCGCTAGTTCCACGCTCTACACACACACACACCACACCACCACCACCACCACCACCACCACCACCATGAATGCTGCGTGTTTCTGAGTACAGCCAGGTACCGGGTGTGCAAGGATTTGCCCTCCTCATCCGCCCTCTACAAAGGCAAGCTGGGGTGGGGGTTGGGGGGCTTCTGGGGGTGAGCTACCCAACACAAGGTCTCACCTTTCCCGTTCACAAAGCTCCGCACTGGGGGCCCCCCGCTGGGTCCCTTCAGCAGGTGCTTGCTAAGGTTTTGCATTTTCAAAAATCTGGGAAGGGAAAGAAAAAAAAAAAAAAAAACCACAGCAGGTTTAGCCCAACCTCCCCTGACCTGTTCCTGATAAAGTGACCTGGCGCCTCGGGAACTGGGATTTTGAATGTATGTGTGTGTGTGTGTCTAGCCTGTGGCTGCTATTGGATTACAACAGCATGAAAATGGAACCTAGGGCTGAGGAGCCCGCCAGCCTCAGAAGCCTTCTTCATTGCCTGCCGTGTAATAGATGATATGCAAAGCCTCTGACTTCAGCCAGTAGATATTTGGAGACCGTGTTGGCCCTAGCATGGGGACTAAACTAGCGTGTGTTTAGGTCAGAAAGCGAATCAGAAAAGCCACTGGAGGGCACGTCACGGAATGAGCGCCCTATAAATTCATTCCCACTCGCAGCCTCCCCTGGCAAACACTCGGCTTCCCTCCCTGGGCCGCTCCACGTCTCTCCCCGCCGTGGGGCTAGGAGGACTCGGGCCGCAGCTCCCCCTTCTCGCCGCCGCCTTCTGCCCTGCAGAAAAAAGCGAGAGGGCGAGACTCCGAGGACGCCGCCAGCCCTCGACAGGCGCGAGGGAAGCCCAGGGTAGCCCTGCACCCGGCAGAGCGCCCTCCCTCGGAGCGCGCGGCGCCCAGGCCAAGCCCCGCGCGGGCGCAGCGGTCAACTTCGGATTGCCCCCTTCGGTCGGTCTGAGCGGAGCTCCGCACTCTTCCTCCGGATCTACCCGGCCAGGGCCGGCGCTAGCCCGGCGGCATCTGCACGCGCTCAGCGCTCTCCCTGCACCCCGGGGAGGGGGCCGCCTCGCGTCACCCACTCGCACCCCGCGCCCCCGCCTCAGGAGCCCGGCGCCTCCTCGCCGCCCTCCCCCCCACCCCAGCCACAACCGCCGGCCTCGCCGCCGCCTCCCGACCCCTCCCCTCTCGGGGCCCCGCGCCTCCCCTCCCCCACCCGGCCCCCTGGCCCGGGCTCTCGACGACCAGCCTGCGCTCCTGGCGCCCTCATGTCTTCACGGGACTCCCCGCGCCGGTTGACGTGGTGTCTCGTTCGGATCTCCAGGCAAGACCTCGGCTCCCGCCGCAGCATCAGACAGGCCCGTCTCGCGCTCCCAGGCTCTGCGCCCCGAGGAGGCGCAGAGTGCGGCGGCCGCCGCTGAGCCGCCCGCGGCGCCCCGGGCCCGCGCAGCCCCGGCCAAGAGCGCGGTGCGCGCGGCCGCGTCACCCCCCTCCCAGGGCAGGGGCAGCGGCTGCTTGGACTTGGGCTCCTGGGGGTCCGGGGGTCCGGCGGGGGAGGTGTCGGCAGCCCTCTCCTTTTTTGCCGCGGCGGCGGCTGGAACCTTGGCCACCGCCTCCTGCGCGCCCTCGCCGCCTCGCGCGACCCCAAGATTGCGAACTCGAACCCCTGACCTATTGGGCGGAGCTCCGCCGCGCTCCTGCCCTCGGCCCGGATGGGTCTCCTGGATGGGACTCGGGGCACCTGGAGTTAATGTCCAACTGGAGGTCTGCGGAGACCGGATCCGAGGTGAGTAGGGGAGCAGGCCGGGGTGGAGGGGGCGAGGGGCCGCCAGCGTCGCCTGCGGGAGCGGCGGGTTGCGGGGTGCGTGAGACAAGGGCGCGGCTGGACCCCGGGACAGGCGGACGGTGAGAGCGGGAAGAACAGAGGGATCCCTGGTTGGGCAGGGAGGGAGAAGTTGGACCAGAGAGAGCGAGCGCGCGCGAGGCTAGCAGTACGGAGGGGCAGGTTGCCTTTTCCACGTGGGCAGAGATCTGTGGGGGCCCTGATGCCCCTGAACCCCTCCATGCCGGAGAGGGGCGAGTTCCCTCCCCGACTCGGCTGGGCGCCCTTCTTTCAAGTCCCTGGACGGCGCGGGGCTCGGCTCATCTCGGAAGCCACCCGGAGCGTCCTCTCCGGCTGCCTAGAGATCCCGTGCGGCGAGTGTAACTTAACTGTTGAGCTAGTTTGGGTCGGTTCTGGAGGAGAGCGCAAGCCCGGGGAGCGACTGCGGCTAAGGCGCTGAGATCCTAAAAATAGAGGGCTCGCAGCCTCGGGCGAGGTCCTGCAAAGCCACAGCCTCTTCTCTCTTTCGCTCAGCCCCTGTAACCGCTCCCGTCTAGGCACGGACATGGGCTCCCCGCGCTGTCCCACACTCAAGTCTCCGTTTCCAACAGACTTGGGAACTCCTCGGGGTCTCCCCTGGGCCGTCCAGGAGGTTCTTGGAGTGACCTCTTTTCCCCCTTACTCTGCGCCCCCTCCCTCCCAGCCACTGCCTCGCACCACCTGGGGGCTGGTTCCGCCGTGGCTGGGCTTCCAACCCCACCCGGTGTAAAGGAAACCCCCGTCCGCGCCGGGAGTGGACACTGTCTGTCCCCGCAAACCTCCCAAAGCCTCGCCGCTGTGCGATCCCTGGAGAGCGGGCGGGGGGCTGCCCCCGCTGTGAGCTCCCTGCGTTTTTGCTCGGTGCCAGGGCCACACACAACCCTTCCGCCCACCCCACCCCCCGGCCCCGCGGCCCCGCGGCCCCGGGTGTGCTGGAGCGCGCTCGACTCCAGCTCGGTGGTTTGAACTTGCACTTCGAGTGTTTCGAGGAAGAGATGCTGCTTCCCACCTCACGCACACACCCCGTCCCGCAAGGCCAGCAAAGTGGGAGCCACGGGGCTTCCGCCTGCGTCTCCCCACCCCGCCCTCCACCAAGCACTGGCTGTTTCGCCGCGCCTTCGCCAAGGCGTGGGAGGTGTCGCCTTTTCAACAAGTGACAAGTGTCGGGTGTCCGGGAAGCGCGCCGCGTCCCTAGCCCACCCCCGCCGCAGGAGGTGCGGTGGCCTCCGGCCCCCTCCGCAGCCTGCCCGCGAGCGGCGCCCCGCATTCTTTCTCCAGGCCTCATCGTGGGCACCGCCGTCGCGGGGAGTTAAGGGGAGAGTGAGCCCTGCATCAGGCAAGGGCACTGGGCGCAGTTCAGAAAGGCAACAGAGCTGTCCGTAATTTCTGTCCCTGCCGCAGGAGGAAACCCCCAAGTTTATAGCAAACCCCGCTCCCTGCCCCACGCTTGCTTTTTCTCTGCCTAAGACCTGGATCTAAGGCAAAGCCCAAACCAACCTCCCAGTCAGCCAGGTACGGGGTGAGGTGGAGGAGGGGAGGGGGAGGCAGGGCGGCGGGAGCGCCCACCCGCTGCGAAGCCTCCGGGGAGCGCTGGGGGGATGGGAGGGGAGGGGTCGCAGGGGAGATGGGGGGGAGGTGTCCAGAAGAAGCAGGTTGCCCAGGCAGCACCCAGCGCATCGGGAGAGGGAAAAGCGGGAGAGAAAGGCGAGGTGGGAGCCTGCGCCGCAGGCACGCGGGTAAGGACATCAAAGGGCCATGGGCGATTGTCAATTTAGGGAGGATTGTGGGGCGAGTGGTGGTTCTCCCGTTTTTTACTTAAAATGACAACGCAGCCTCCTGGCCGCGTGGGCACTGCCGGACTCGGGCGGTTTCTGGTGCCCCCTGGTGCCGGGAACTCAGAAGTGCCCCCACGGCCGGCGGGCGGGCGGGCGAGCTGCGGCTTCGGCAGACTCCGCGGGCTTTCCGGGGCGTGCTTTTCGCCCCCCACGCTGCCGGGGGACCCACCCGGTGCCCTGCTGGGGAGCGTTGGGCCCGACCTCACGGGAGGATCAGCCTTGCCAGGGCGCAAGAAAGGGTGCGGGGTTCAGTTGGCCGGGAGGACTTGAACTGGGTTTCCGCACGTGGCAGCGCGTGAAGCGATTTGCACGGGTAGCAAAGGCGGTGGTTGCGAGGGAAACGCAGCGAACGGCTGCAGACAAGTGCGGGGCAAGGATTCAGACACAAACTGGGACGCCGCGGGGGGAGGCCCAGAGGGGCCCAGAGAAAAATGTCCTAGGGAGACCGCTGTGTGCGCCGTCCCAGACCTCCCCGCCCCCCCGCGCGCGCCCTGCAAATACCGGGAACTGAAGAGCCGCTGGGACTGGAGAGGGCCCCGGCGGCGGCGCGCAGAGTGAGGAATGCGCCCTCCCCGGCTCGGCGGGGGAGCTGTTTGGGGGCGCTGGCGGCACCCGGCCCCGGGCGGGAGCGGGAGCTGGGAGCCTCCTCTGGCGAGGCGGGGAGTTTTCCACTGTTTCCTCCTTTGCCAGCTTCGCCACACTTCTAATTGAGGACCTCCACGTCCAATTTAAAAAGCCCTCGGTTGGCCAAGCGAGGAAAAAAAAAAAAAAAGGAAAAACTCTCTTAATGCGGAAGGGAAGTCTGGTGCCTCGGTCGCTTCCTGCCGCCGGGCACCGCGATTTGGGATGGCGCATTAGCCGTGCGCCTAGCTGTGGGTCCCCACCGCCAGCCATTTCGCACGCACCCGGGACTCGGCACCGAGGGGGCGGGAGGCGCAGCCTGGCACGGTGTTCCTGGGCCTGCCCGCCGCGACCCAGAGACGTCGCTTTTCCCAGGGTTTGCAAACCTGGCCGCACTGCATGTGGCGCGCCGGGCCGCGGGACCTGGGGGTTCCCAGTCCCTCCGCTCCGCGAACCCAACAGCTGCGGGGCGAAGAGTCCAAGGGATGGAAAATGCATTTGTCTCCGCAGTGGTGGGAGGTGGCGGCTGAATTTAACGCTTTCCCGGGTGGCCAGCACCCGGGCCTGGGACCTGGGGTTCCACGTGGAACTTAGAGGCGCGTGGGTGGGGAGTGGAGGGGTCTGGAAGGGAGGCGGAGGCGCCTGTTAACTAATGCAAGGGAAAGTTGTTGCATTTACCTGGAAATGATCTTCTCCCCACTTGCAGGTTTTCCTCTAAATCCACTTTACCTAGGGTGTGGGTTGTTGGTGGGGGTGGGGGGGTTAACTGCATGACTTTCAGTTTCCGCCTGAAAATTCTCACCATAGTCCCCTGGAGGGGGAAGAGACTGGTTCCTCGGCCCCTCCACACCCCCTCATTGCATGGGGCTTGGCGCAGCTTCAGGCGCGGCCCTGTTTCCTAGGGGTGTGCGGCCTGAGAATATAAACCGAGGCACGAGCTGCACCCCGACACCGTACCTTCTAGCCGCCCCCCCCCCCCAGGTGCTCACGCGCCTGGGGCTCTGGGAGCCAGCGACTCCTCTGGGAGGGGAAGAGATTAGCGTTAGAGTCTCTCAAACCTGAAGAAATAAAATGGAATCAAGAGGGGGGGGCGGGGGTTCGGGTCTACCGGGGACGATTAGAAATGTCAAGTCCTGCCTACCAGCAAAGGCAAAGGCTATGCAGAGCGCGGACCGTGTGCCCCGCTGGTCCCCTGCACGCGTCACTTAACGTCCATAACCTTAAGAGGTGGACCTAATACTTTAAGCCGACTCGATGCTTCGGGTAGTTGACTAACTCAACCCAGATATTCCTGCACAGCCTCAGAGTCCCCAAGTCTCACTAACTTCTTGTTCCTGTGGCAGTGTATTTAGGTGGGGGAATGAAGCGGGGGGGGGGGGGGGGGGCGGCCGGGGTGAGCGGTGCCCTCCAGCCTCCTCCAGCCTAGCTAGGAGTGGGGCCGGGGGCCCAGGGTCGCGCCTGATTTTTTTTTTTTTTTAAGCCATAGAAAACGACTGGTCCCCAGGGACCTTCCGGAGCTACCCGGCTGGGAGGGTCTCTGGTTGGGCAGATGACGCAGGGTGATGTCTGCTGGGTTGACACCCCCCCCCCAGGAAATGGGGTACACGCCTGCGGAGAGGCCTGGCCAGGAATCTGGCCCAGGGGGAGAGGGCGTTTACCGGCCGAAGCGGTGCAGAGGGCAGCAGCCTTGCTTAAAAATCTGACCCTTGGGACCGGGTGGCAGAGGAGGCAGAGGTCAGCCGTGGCCTGGACGGGGAGTGAGCACTGCTCCTGGGGCTCCCCGGGAGACGCAGCGAGCAGGGCGCTCCGAAGGAGGGCGGGGGACGCCCGAGGAGCCGCAGGCCTGCAGCGGGCGCCGGAGAAGGGCGGGCGGGGATGAGTTCGGAGGGGGACGCGGGGACCCGCGGGGATGCCGCGCCGCGGGCACTTGAGCTTAACGCGCCTTCTGCGGTTCTCTCCTCCGCCGCCCGCCCGCTCGCCCGCGCAGGTGCCGCCGCCGGACGGGACTCTAAGATGAAGTTATGGGATGTCGTGGCTGTCTGCCTGGTGCTGCTCCACACCGCGTCCGCCTTCCCGCTGCCCGCCGGTAAGAGGCCTCCCGAGGCGCCCGCCGAAGACCGCTCCCTCGGCCGCCGCCGCGCACCCTTCGCGCTGAGCCGTGACTGTAAGAACCGTTCCCTCCCCGCGGTGGGGGGCGCGCTTGTGGCCCCCCTCGCCCCCCACGCGCCGCCTGCACGCACCCCGAACCGGCCCGGACGGCTGTGTGCCTCTTGGCCCCGCGGGCAAAGCCCGGCGGGTGCCGCAGCCTCCCTGGAGGTGCCCTGCTGCCGGCTGCCGCCCAAGGGCCCCGGACGCCTTGCCTGTGTATGCCAATGCTGGTTTGCCCAGCCCGGACAGTACGGAGCGTTCATGCTGTCCCTTTAGCTGCTCGGTGAACAGAGATTCTGAGCGCCACAGGAACACGCCCAGGTGGCCCCACTTCTCCCCATCCCGTAGACAGGCACCCATCTTTAAGTTTCTTTTTCCCAAAGCTCTGTATCAGTTGTGTTGTGCCCGGCCGTGCTGAATGCTGAAAACTATTGCACTTTTATCCTAAACTGCTTCTGCAAGCCGAGAGGCCAGGTTTTTCACAAAAGCCAGAGACAGAGAGAAGGCAGAAGGGCCTCTCTTTCCAGCAGGAACATCTGGGGAGTGTCAGGTCTGCTCGGAAAAGTTTGCTTCTAGGAAGAAGTCGCAGGGGTACGTAGTGCTGGCCGGGACTAGGGCAGAAAGCCGGGGCTCACAGATGACCACGCTGACTCTTGAGAAAAGCCCGGCTCCTTCTGAGTTTAGAAGCAAGCCAATCAGGACACGGCAGCTGCGGCCTGATACCGTTTGCTCTCTTCTGGTCAGCCCTTTGTTGCGTTAAAATGGGGTATTGCTGCATGACTTATAGTGGCTATCGGAGCCTTTTGGAGTGTGAAAAAGGTAGCAGTGGAAACGTTGGCAGAACCCCAGAGGAGGGCGAGAGGGAGCTGTAGATAACCAGGGTACCACACTGGCTACTCCTCCCCCAGCCCGGATTATCCCCCAAGGTGACTGCACCTGTACAAGCGCCGCAGTGGGCGCCTGGTCCAAGTCAGCTATCAGCCAAGAATCCCCGAAACTCAGGGGCAGCAAACAGTCCAAGAAATCTGATATTTTATGCTTAATCTTCTTCCAGAAGCCCCAGGACAAAAAGTGCTTTTTTTTTAATCGGTCAGATTAAGACTTCAAAAGTGATTTGGGGTTACAAAGAGGCCACGGTGGTCCCTTGAAATTAAAATCCCCGTTCCAAGGGCTTCTGTCAGTTCACCATACAGCCTTATCTGCAAAGGCTTTCCTCTCCAGCACAGGTTTAGTGTGCAGAAACACTTGGCCAATGGACATCTACATGGGAAGCCAGCGGCTTCAGAGCATAACGCATAAGCGTTCATAACTGTCCCTTCATTCATTGGAACGGGCGGGCCAGGGGAACAGAGGCAGTGGCAGGTGCTAGGTCTCCAGCCTGAAGGTTCAGGAGAGAAAACTGTGCCTGGTTGTGCAGCTGATCAATTCCTGGAGGTTTAAGTGCCATATTTGTAGCCCGCCTACCTAGGTTTATTTAGTGCTGGCTCCTGGTCCTGGCTCGGTGTTCAGCTAGTTCTGTGGCTATGAACAAGTTACTTACTTTAGAACTTGTTGAACCTTTATAGCTGTTCAATAAAAGGAGGCCTTTCTGATCTGAAACATCAGCAACTATGGGATTTGTCCCTTGGCCTATACATTCCTATCCCAGCCATTCTTTGGGGATCCCCTGGGGAACTATAAAGACTGGATCTCACCCCAGGCGATTCTGATTGACTTGGTGGGAGCCTCTGGAAATACATATATTCCCCCTAGTGAACCTAATGAACAGCCAGGGTTCTATCAGCATGGCTGGATAATATCCACAGAAGGAAAACCTGTGGCTCATCCCCAGTAACACTCGACAAAGCAAGTGAGTTAGCATTAATCCCCACACTAAAGGTGTGGGGAAGGCACGCTGTGTGGGGGAGGAGAGTAGCTTTCCTTTGCCAGAACTGACACAGAGTCATCAGTGGACAGGATTCTGATTACTCTGCCTACATTTGAACCAGCAGAACACGCCCAGTTCTGTTTTAGCTATGCAAAGACCCAATAGATCCTAGAGGAAACCTGAAAGAGAAACGTTCCCAAAGAGAAACAGCTGCATTCTAAGCCAAATTGACTTCTTTCCAGGTATGTTCAATTCGGTAGCAAGCTGTCAGCGCAGGGAAGGCAAAATAATGACAGTGTGCAGACTTTGGACACTCAACCAGTGTCAACACACCCCTGTCACAGCGCTGAAGTTTATATCCTGTGCTGGACACGGCATAACTGGTTAAGACTTATGGAGAAAAACATTAAGTCACTGAATTTCATTTGAAAATAGAAAGTACCATAAATTCTGATGCCTCCAGTTCCCTTCGAATACTTGGAGCTTAGTGATCACATAAAAGGGCTTGCATGCCACATTAATAATCCTGCACTTTTCAGAGGTGCTGGGACCCTACCTGTCTGCACACTCACCCTCGAGGTTATCTGTGTTCTGCTGGCTCCACTGTGAATGAAACATCCAGAATTTTATCCCTAGTGTGTTCACAGTATGAACAGGTGGCTCACTTGCCTGGAGGTTGGCTATGAAGTGGTCCATAGTCCAGGGCCACCTCCCCTACCACCTTCGAAGCTGTCTAGACTCACAGACTAGTGGGTTTTTTCCCCCTTTGGGACATCCAAGACTTTTCTCTTTTTAGCTGCCCTTGCTACATTTACTCTGCTTTTCACCAGTGTCTTCTTCAAAGGGTGTGAGGGATCTACAAGGTGAAACTCACAGATGTAGGAGCATTTGAGAGCTGAAAGGAGACGCTTTACCCCCTTTTACAAGGGGTAAAACCACTTGTCCTAAGTCCAGAGATTCATCCATGCTGAGAGTCTGCCAAAGCTGGCACCAAATTTCCCCAGCCCACTGAAATGTGCTTTATATGGGAGGGGAAGCACTTTAAATAGGGAGATTTTTAACTAATAACTAAAACCAGGTTGTATGGCATTGTCTGAGTTTATTAATTATACTCATAGTCACCATCGCAATTCTGAATGGATTTCACAAGTAAAAGCATAAAGGGCATGTGGTTAATGTTTGTGATCTAAATGAGTCATCTATTCATTCAGCAAATGGTTTGTGTACGCCGGCACTGTCTTAAGTGTTAGGAATACCTTGGTTCATCAAAGAGACGGAAGTCCATGCCCTTGAGGAAGCTACTTTCCAACACATGTGACAAACAAAGCATGAAGGGACCTTGGGCCACAAAGGTGCCCTTAATTTGCATGCAACTAAATGCCAACCAGAAGAGACGTTGAGCATTGTTCAGCTGAGATTGCAGCTAACTCCCAGTTTATTATATTACAGTGGGATTCTCTTCCACCAGTTTGGCCACAAGTCACAGTATTCCCTATAGTAACAATCTTTTAAACCAAGCTGTCAAGGTCTCAGGCTAGCCCACAAAAACCTATGTACAGCACGCTACAGCTGCAGTATAATTCCCAAGATGGCCACGTGAGCCTGTGCCCTGGGTGTAACATCCTGCCATGTGCAGGGGAGGGCACAGAGCGAGAAACCAGGGAGGTTCAACAAGCAGGGGCTTAAGTTAACCCATCCAGACCAGACCAGAGCTTGGGTCCCGGCCTTGCAGTTTGACCAGCTGTTATTCAGCGTTTCTTGACGATTCCCTCATCTATGAGATAAGGGTGCGTGGGGTTGGTATGAGAGTGAAATAAGACACTGCTCTGGAAAGCCTAGGCTCCCCAGATGCATACCCTAAGTGGTCCTCGGCCTCTCCTCCTTCCAGCCTCCCAGTGAACCCCCTTTCTGCCACATGTCTGTCAGGGCACTGCTCTAAAGGGGGGAATTTTGCATGACATGACCCAGTGCAGAGAGTGGAAGAAATGCAGGCCTGTGCGCAGGCTATTTTGGGCCTGCAGTGGGTTGGTCAGCACGTAGGCAGACCAGTGCTGCCGGGGATTCTGCCCCCGGGTCAGCTGCCCTGGCTCTTCCTCGGTTTCATAGCTCCATGCCTTCCCCAGTCTCTGAGCCCACATACTTCCCGTGGAATTGTTCCCACCAGAATCCCATGGTCGTATCAGGGAGGCCCTCTTCCTGGTGGGAAGAAGGCAGCCAGGGCAGGGTCAGATCCACCTGTGCTAGTGATAAGCAAGCTGTGGGTTGGAGTCTGCCCATATGAAGACGAAGCATTTCTGTTTTAGATAATCCAGCCGGACAGTTAATGTGAGATGTTTTATAATCCCAGTAGAAACTTTTTAGTACTTGTTCAGCCTGCCTTTATTCAGCTAAGAAATCATCTAGTGTAATCAGCTGATTAAATGTTAAGCTTTCAAACCTAATGTTATAAATACAGAATAAATACACTTGATCCACCATTGGTTCTTATTGCCTAATTTGTGTTTTGGGGTTTTTTTTTGGACAGGCAGAGTTAGACAGTGAGAGAGAGAGAGAGACAGAGAGAAAGGTATTCCTTTTTCCATTGGTTCACCCCCGAAGTGGCTGCTACGGCCGGCACGCCGCGCTGATCCGAAGCCAGGAGCCAGGTGCTTTCTCCTGGTCTCCCATGCGGGTACAGGGCTCAAGGATCTGGACCATCCTCCACTGCACTCCCAGGCCACAGCAGAGAGCTGGACTGGAAGAGGAGCAACCGGGACTAGAACCCGGGGTGCCGGCGCTGCAGGTGGAGGATTAGCCTAGTGAGCTGCGGCGCCGGCCGGTTCTTATTGCTTATGAACTGTATGAATGAACAGTACTGTAATAAAGTGTCTACCCAAGCTGGAAAATGGCTCCATCCCTTGGGAAGGGTCTCTTGGAATCAAGAAACTGCACGTCAGACTGCAGTTTACTTTTATGTTGGTTGAGAGGCAGAGAGAAAGAGCGTGCATGCCTATCTGCTGGTTCTCTCCCCAGATACCTGCTATGGCAAGGTTGGGTCAAAGCCAGGAGCTGGGAGTGCAGTGCAGGTCTCCCACGGGGGTGGCAGAAGCCTAGTTACTTGGGCCATGATTGCTGCCTGCGTCAGCAGGAAGCTGGAGTCAGGAGCCAGA